AAAGGTGATTTTTGGAAATAAAAAATCAATTGTTTTAAAACTTTAAGTGTATATTTATAAATATCCAAAGAATACCAAAAAAATGTTTGAAGAAAAAAACTAAATATTTTCGACGACGTCGCTGAAAAAATAACAAAAATGTGTTTAACTGCAGCAGTGATTCTGGCCTTCTCCGTGAATGAAAATATTCTCTACTAGAAGATATTGTCCGTCCGACCTATGGGTCGTAAAAAAATTACAATTGACAAAGTGGGCTATTATGTTGCATTTTAATAAATTTTTGTATAGATTTTGGCCTGTAAAATTCGATTTTTGATGAGATCAAAAAGTGGTAGGTTATTGTTTTTAGAAGTATATACAGAACATGCAAAAAATTTTTTATTGATCGGATAATTTTTCTTCGAAGATCCGTCAAGCAAATTTTAGAAATGCAAGTTTGAGAAAAATGCATTTAAAGTTTAGTTCCAATACGTCACAAGTAACGTCTTTTTTGACAATAATCCAAACATAATGATTATTTCAATAAAATTACACGATAATATTTCAGTAGTTGTAAGATCATTCGAAACCAAGTGAAATAGGTTTATAAGTCCACCAGAACTTACACGAGGAATACACTGGCGCCTTTAATTCTAGCAATTGCGAGAATATCTAATGTTCATAAGAGCCTCAACTTAGCCCTAATTTCTTTGCTATATATTTAGACTTTCCTTTTGATTATCATGAATTCTAATGCTAAAATGGGTCAAGTGGTTTTCAGGTTGACCTCGCTTAGGCTTAATGATATTTAACGCCCTCTACTCACTCATAACCTGCACTACTTACATACGTATTCTTATGAAGACAATATTATAATATATTGCTATAGTAAGCATTACAGACTGACTTGTTTAACTGTCATTACTAATTGCTTGTTGGCTTACTTAAAGAAGTGTCTGTGAATTTGTGTTATAAGCAAATTACAGTATGTATTTACATGTGTATATCTGGAAGCATTGATATACAAAGCTTTATATATAATTACACTATAATTTATCGTTAACTATTTTTCTTACTTTTATTTCTTTAATTTTTACAGCGAGTTATTCAAATAAAAATGAAACGAGAAAAAACTTTAACTTCGCCTGCAGCGAAGCTATACTACCCTTCACAAGTAAAAGTTTTATACAAAAACTTGATCTTGCTCGTTCAGTGTATATGGCAGCTATAAACTTTAGTGGTCCACTATCGGCGATACCGACAAATAAGCAGCTTCTTGAAGAAAAATAGACATGTGCAAAGTTTCAGACTGATATCTCAAAAGCCGGACAAATAGGCATGGCTAAATCGACTCAGTTTGTTACGCTGATCATTCTTACATATACTTTATAGGGTCCCCGTTAAAAAATTTGTGATGAACTTACCCTGTTCAGGGTATAAACATTATTTAATATATCTATTGCTACACAATTACTCATAAGTTTTACTTACTTAGCTCAAAATTAACTGCTACTTAGTCCTACTACTATATTAAACATACTTTATGGCTATTTTTATGCTTATTCACTAAGTTAGCTCAATTAATGGCTTCCATATGTACTCATGAATATATGCAGTAAATAACCGTTATGTTTATAGTAAATATACAGCTTAACTATGCTAATAACCCCCTGTATTTTGAAAGAAATCAAATTAATGACGAAAGGAAATTGAATTCAACGTTGATTAAGTATCATCAGCGCTGTCAATTCGGGTAATTACGGCTACAACTGATGAGCTATAATGACAAATGCACATATTCACCATTTAGTAGCTATACAGGGTGTGTTGTAAACTGCAAAGCAGTACTTTGTGTAATTTATTGAACTCGTTATAAATTTAGCATTTACATATATGTATATGCATCAAGACATTATAGCATCATAAACTATGCATTTTAATGCAGTTTATCAAACACCCTGTCAAAATCATACAAAATGCACTACATGTTATGCATTTGCGTTAAAAAATATGTATGTATAATATAAATGTAATATGCTGCATGCAATGTAATTATTTTCCTATTAGTCTTATTTATGAGTCGCTGGATGTGTGGCATGTCGGTTGAGCGGATGTTCATTAGGCAGCCATATTTATCAGTAAAACAACAATTTTTTGTTGTTGAGGAAGTTAATTTAGGTGGCAGTCAGACAGGATTTTGTCATATTCTGTAACATGGCTAAATACCACATTTGTAGGTAGAATATAGTTAAATATGTTGTATATGTTGGATGTTGCTGAAAATTTATTAAAAGTTTAATATTTTTTAAAAGTTTAGTTAATTCTGTGATTATCTACCAATAAGCTAATCTTTGGTTTTAATATTATGAGATATTTATAAACAACTTTACCCGCGAAAACTTTTTTCTAACAAAAACTCTTTCAAATACTCACTTTTTTTAACCACTTCATATAAAATATAAAATAAGATACAGATTTCAGTTGAAATTTTAATTGGCTTGAAAACTCTTTGGAGCTAACTATAGTGACGAGAAAGAGATAAAATATGAAAACCCGTTAACAAGTGCATTACTTATAGCATAAGAGGTTATAAAAAGATCTTTATACTGATTTTGTTCGGAAAATTTGTATGGCAGCTAACAACGACCAACGGACCAAATAAAACACTTTTAAAAAAATTATTTCCTCCCAAAATATATTTGCAGTTCAAGAAACTCTTGAATGAATAACATCATGGTTTACCAAAATATTTTAATAAGCTGACTTAACCAAAACCACCAAGCCACACGAAACCTTAACACATATGTGTTAGGCAAAGGAATTTGAAAGATGATATGCATGAAAAAACCCGCTTTGATGAAACCAACGTCCCACCCAGCCACCCACAAGCGCGCTACAACAAACACATGTGAGGTTTGCACACAGCCACAGAGGCAGCGTCAAAAGTTGTGTGAAAATTAGCATAAACATACTGTTGCACACACTTAAATTCACAAAGAGCACATAAATTAATACACACACACACACATACTAGCCAAAAAAAAAACCAAATATAAAGCCGGCTTTACATGCATACTCGCACAGCATAGCAGCCTGTGTGCGCTCACATATACCTAATTCATATATGTGTAGGTGTGTGTGACGTGTGAGCGTCGGTTAAGATGTTAGGTGCTAAAAATTAAAATGTTTATGCTAAAAACAAAGTGGGCGCTTTCGTACAGACAGCCCACTTGCTACTTGGCCCCGTGTCACTGCTGACTGTGCAGTTTGCGAAAAAATGGCATGACATCTGTGGATATGTGTGAATAATTTTGGCTGACATTAGTATCACATTAAAGTGCCGGAACTGTTAATAAAATATGTTTAACTTGCTGTGTTAATATGGTGTGCAGGAGTTGGGTAGTTCTAAGCGCAATTTTGCATACGTATTTAAATAGCTGAAAATATATATGTAAAGCCGTAACTTTCACATTCATTTCACATTCACATCACCAAAATTTTCGTATTTAGTGTTTGGAACATGTGACAATGCTTCACGAAATACATATTTTCTTACTTAACCCTGATTAATACAGACATTGTATTTTTTTCTATTCGTTCATCAATTGAGTTAACACTTTTAGACAGGTCACGTCCACGCACATTGTTTTATTTGTATTGTTTCAAAAATTTCAGGTGGCAACGCTTTACAAAATATATTAGTATTTTACAGAACCTTACTGGATGCCCGCATTATTTTATTTCTATTATTTCAATAATTTCAGTAAAATGGCATTTTTAAACAGGTGGCAACATTTCTCAAAATACATAATTTGTTTACTGTTTGCTACCTACATTGTTTTATTTCTGTTACTTCAAAAATTCGATTGATTTAGTATTTTTAATCAGGTGGCAACTCCTGTCGAAAAAAAAAATCAAAAACCCCTGCATGCTCATATGTTAATTTTTTTATTTTAATGTCACGCATTTTGAAAACTTCAAAATTTCTAACAAGTGGCATCTCCTTAACAAGCTCGCTTTTTGCATTCCGAAGAGTAAACAAAAAGTTATATATTCATATGGTATATATAATATTTAAAGCGTCTTCGCTTCTGTCTGCCAGCGTTTATTATGCTGTGGATATTCCGATCGAACATGTTAATCTGGTAATTCGCCAGTTAACACTTCGTTACAACAATTTACTATGAACTTACTTTTTGCTCTCTCTCAGTAGTGTGGTACCAAAACAGTTGATTAAATTTTATTAAATACTCATTTTTAAAAAAATTGCCACAAATTATTTTGTAGCGAACGGCAAATGTATTGTTTTGTGCAATGAATCTAATGAACTTTTTAGACTGCGACGCAAAACAAACAGCTGTAATGATGTTACCAAGCAACGAAAATATTATTAAGCTTGTCACACTGGTACTTCGTTGCTTGGTGGAATGATAATCTGTTAATTTACAAAAACAAATGCCCGTAAAAAACTACGGAATAACGACTAACGAATTAAAAAAGTTGGTGTGAATACCCGTAATATAATTTCGTAACGCTCGGTGAATTTGAGTACCATAACTAAACAGTACTTACTTCAGAAATGTTTATGCTTAACAGCAAACTATAAGTGGAAATTATTTGGGCAAGTCAACTGCGTCTGACGTTCTCCCCACAAAATCCCGCAAAATGTCGGTGGATGCAGGATTAGAAGAAGTCACTTAAAATTAATTGCTAAATTTATGCTAAAAGCAATATATAGTTTGGACTCCTACTGTTCGGAAACAATAAATATGCCAATTAAATTATAACGCGCGTGCCTGCGAGTGAGAAGTAAGCCAACATGAGCCACAAACGCAACAACGAACATCGAATACACACAAAAGTGTTTATTAATATATTTCGAAATACTTATTTCTATTCAATTGTCATATTCATTTAATTTAAGTATTTGGTCAAATTTCCGCAAACATGTATTTATTATTCTATGCCCATTCATTATGTTTACCTATCGAGTCTTATTTCATGGCTACTCTCTTTTGCAGGTCTTACATCTTACGTTACGCAGGACAACATTAATAATGAACTACATCGAAATATAAATCAAAATTTAATTATGTCGCCCGTGTCAGCCGGCATTTCCGGTTCCATTGTGACGAGCAATTATAACGGACCCGTGTCCCAGCCGCCCGCGCTGCCAGCCCCCGGCCATGGCAGTTTCCACGGCAGCTACAGCGCCGCTTTCACAGCTTCATCAGATATGCCTTATCCGCCCTCTTCCATTTCGGCGTCCTCATCGTATCGCCACCAACACCAGCAACAACAGCAGCAACAGCAATTGAATCTACAACAACCATACCATCAAACAAGTGGGAGTAGCATAACAAGTTTTGATTCGGCAAATGTAATTGATGAGCGACACCAACAGCGGCAAACCCATCAGCAACAACAGCTGCAGCACATAGCACGCCCACTGCACAAAATGATTGGAGTGGGGCTCGGCAGTGGTGGTGGCGCCGGTGGTATTGCTGGGCTTGAGCACAACAACCTCGGCGAGGCGGCGCTGGGCGGCTCAGCTGAGAGTGCCAACGCCGGCTTGGAGGAGATCTATGCGGCGCCTATGTATTTCGGCACGGAGAACTCCACAGTTGTGACGACGCAAATTGGTGCGTCCGCACATATACCCTGCACCGTACATCACATTGGCGATGGTGTGGTAAGTACATTTTGCGCAATTTCCTATTTATTTGTTTGTTGAAAATTCACTTTGCGGCCCGCGAATGATGGGTAGGCATAGTGTGTGGTTGTTGTGCCAGCAATTAAGCCATCATTCACGATATTCAAGAAACTTATGGCGTGCAAATAGCTGGAGTGGTTGAAGTTGTATGGGATGTGGGCATATAGGCGCTTGTTAATGGGGTGAACGGGTAGTAGAGACCACCAAAAATAGCGCTTTGTTATGTTAAGTGATGTTTATTGTGATTTACATAAAGTGTGGCACATGGAATTAAGTCATGAACTTGTTAATGAGTCTTTGAAGTTGAGCGGCCGCTCACGGGAAACTATCAAGAGCTAGGTGCCACAAAAATATTGCTGGATAAAAGGCAATGTTTGTATAGTTTTTTTAGTCATTGCAGCTTGCTTTTCTACTATAGGCTTTTGCTAATGAATTATGTATTATAATTACTTTAACTGAATTTATGTATGACTCACAGCAAGCGTTTAGTTGTAATATTATATTTAGAAGTAGTAATTGCTTTTCTTAAAAAATCAATATTTTAATTTTAAATAAGAAAAAGTAACTGATTTCTCTCTAGTTGTTTTAAACTATTATTGTTTATTATTTGTTGCCAAGATTATGGTGCGTATTAATGTGAAAGGCTTGAAAATTTTACTATAGTATTTATTTTTTTTTTAATTAATTAAAAACCAGAAAAAACGTTCACCTCAATTGCGCCGCAGCTAGAATATCTTTACAAATAAAGAAGTTTCTATACAGGCACCTGATTTTGATCTTTCAGTTGGCACGACAGCTATGAGATTTAGTTTTCCGATATTAACAACATTTTCACGAAAAATTTAGCGTTTTTTTAGATAAAAATCCATGCTAATTTTGGCAAAGATATTTTGTAAATTAAAACAAGTTTTCCCTGCAAGAAATTAATTCCGATTGTTAAGTTTGTAAGGCAGGTATATGTTATAGTGGTTCGATATTAACGCATCTGGCAAACGTGCAACTCCTTGGCGCTCAGTGGGGGAAAAGGACGTCGGCAAAATTTCAGATTGATATCTCCAAAACTGAGGAACTAGTTCGCGTATTACAAAAAGACGAACATGGCTAAGTCGACTCATTTAATTAAATAAATGCCGTTGTCACTTGGAATACCTTTACACAAAAAAAGCAGCAAACATAACTAATTTACAAAACGTATTGCGGTTAGCTTGTACGCACAATATATCGCCGGCCACGGGGCGTATGAGTAACATGCAACCAAAACTTACCAAGCGCTTGGCATGAAAACATTTGCGTATAACTACATAAGTACACTAACCAAGTAATGCGATTCACAAATAGATTAAATGACACGCACTGTGCGAGCGATCTTGCCAACTTGTTCTACTTATTGTGTACCAATTTACAAATCTTCTTCTTGATATGTCAGTGCCATTTCAATTTTGCTTCTTCCACACAAACATACAAATACACATGTTAAATGTGCAGTGAACAGTTATTTGTTGTGTAAGAGCAAGTAGTGGCACAAAATACACATATAAGCAAGTATACTCATAGCAATTATTCTGTGGTTGAATCGCACGCGCATATGTAAGCAATGTTGGAGTAAGCACACGACCTTGCGGTGAATATATGGCTGCCTAGCAGGTGATGTTCGCCATCTATAATTACTTGGTGGCATAAAAGATTACCTAACAGATGAGAGTGGTAGTAATTTTCGAGATTCTAAAGTGAAGCAGAAGTTTGTAATAATTTCCATACTTGAGTAAATTTTTTTTTGCCCCAGGAATAGTACAAGCAGATATAACAAAAAATTTATATATTTATATTATATTATATAATTTTCAACTCCTCAATATTTTGAAAAAAAATATTATTTAAATACCTCAATATATATTCGTTCTCATTATACCATATTTAGTTTGTCAACAAGTTTGTAACATACAGAAAAATCGTCGGAGACCCCATACAAGATACATATTGAGTTTTTGTGATATCGAACTGTTATTTTGCACAAGTGCTTTTCACCCCAAGAAGCTATTTATGTATCGCAACTGCCGATATCCGAAATCCGATCCAAATTAAGACAAAGCTCTTTTTATACGCTTTTATGCTATAAGAAATGCGCCTGTTTAGGGTATTATAGCTGCTGTGTAGCCGAAGTTTACGGTTTCTATGCTATCCTCTGCAAACTACCCACCCACCAAAAACCGCACCCTTAAGCCCACATAATTTACTACTGGGCTTAGTTTTACAATAATATGTTAAGCTTATTTATGTGGCAGTGTGCATTGTTTATGTGTACGCTAAAATAATTCTAATTAATGATTCTTGAATTGTCTGCACAGGAAAGTACTCGACACGTGCATTTGCAAGTCTGTGTATTCGCTTTCATTATTGGGTGATGCATTGGTAAACTATTATATGTGTGTAACATGTAATCAAACGCACACAAGTTTGCATGTTATTTCTGCGCAAATTAATTGTATTTGTTGGTTATGTCTGTCTATAACACACTTGGACTCAGCCAATTTCCACTATTAGTGACGCTCTACTTATTCATTATACATGACCTGTGTTGTCGTTCAGCAAATGAAATATGCGATTTAATTTAATTTGCGCTGTGGCAGAAAAAGCGAAACGCAACCAAATGAAATGAGTAGACTTTGTTTGCTTTTATTTATTTGCTTTTAGTTTTTCATGTTTTTCTTTTTGACTCTAGCAAATGCAGTTTATAAACGCTATATTATTTGGAAGCAGCTTTCAGCTATTAAGTAGAATTGTGTTATGTTGAAAAACTCTTGCTGCATATTTTTTGCTTTCTTATTACTGAAAGTTCTCTTCCTGCTTTCGTTTGAGGTCAGAACTTTAGCAGGGAAAAAATATGAAAATATAAAAAAGCGAAAATTTTTTCTATTTTTCTTTATAGATCAAGCAGTTTGTATAGTTGTAATTCACTGACGAAAAAGCGTTTTGATTTGAACTTGCCACTGAGCTGTGCAAAATTATACAAAGAAATATAAGTTTTTTGTGTTGCAGCACTATTTGAGCGACATGCATTTTTTGAGCCAGAGTTGAAAAGGCTTTTCATAAAGGTTGAAATATTTGCTAAAAAATTCAGAATAACTTATTAATTAAATGCCTTTGCAAAACTTATAACGATGTGTTATCAAAAGTGGCTCCGATTGACAGCTGGTAAACTTACAACTTATGACCAGATTTCCTGCTAGAAAATTATCTCTAATCCTTTTGCTGTATTCCAAGCTCTCGAATTATTAAATATAAGCTATTTAAAAATTATTTTTAATAACTTAATATATACACATATCCATCCATGTAAATGTACTGTTATGCATATCATGTTACTTATACGCCGCGGACACCAGTTTTCTGCATTTAGTAACATCTACGAATTACATACAAATCTGTACAAGATTTCTCACTCGACTATATTATTTTATTTAGGCATCATTATAATATTTATGTAAACTTACGTATATGTCCATACGTAGACGTCTTGACAAAGTAAACTCAGATATTTTTGCCTTCATAGAGCACATATACAAGCAAAATTTTACACAAGGTACTTGGCTGCATGAAGGTTCTTGCATTACTGCTAATCCGTATAAGCTGCTGCCTCAAGTAGTTAGCATGAAAAAGTGTAAATGCTTACTCAGTTGAGTTTGTGTTTACAAATCTTCCTCACCATGCGAATATATGTATATGTATTTATAAGTATGTGCAATTAATGTCTTAGGTCACGGCAGAAGGTGTGAGAAACTAGTAAAGAAGGTGAAAATAGACACGCATGAAGAATAATAGTATTTAGTTGAAGAAGAATTGCAAGAGCAAGGTAGGATGGAAGAAAACAATTAGAAATATAAATATTGAATAATTTTTTTCAATATTTTGATAACAAAAAAATAAATTAACACCTAAATTATAAATTAAATCTTCTTATTAACAATTTAAAAAAATAAAGTGGAACCAAAATTAAAACTTAAATTTTAAATTAAATTTACGTATTAGAAAAATGGAAAGATAAAACCAAGATAAAGCTACTATACTCCAGTAGCATATATCCTTCCATTAGAAAAACAAAAAAGTATTAAAAAAAAACTTTGCAATCGCGGTGGCTTCAAATTAAAAATGATTGCTATGCAGAAACAAGCAAATGTTTATAAGGATAAAACATAAAATAGAAAAGAATGGCAGATAACGACCTTGGAGAATGGTACAAATAAAAGCGCTCTAGGGCAGCATAAGCAGCTTTCAAAGCAGCTAAACCTGCCTGTCTACTTGAAATTTGCTCAAGCATTTATTTTACGCTAGTTCAGGTGAATCTACTTAAGCATATTTATTTAGAACTGTATGTAACAACATACTTGTGCACATAAGTTGTGTATATATAAACGGCGTTGAATAAAATGTGAAGGTCATTGTGCAGCGCAACGCTTAACGAGGAGCAACTAATCTGTGCGCAAACACACACACATACATGAATATGCCAAAGCGTTTATTTATATGCGTGTGTTTGTATCTGTGTGTATAACTGCACTCAAAGCAATATTGCTTGGGAGAAAATTTTACGCCTTTTAAGCATTAAACGAATATGACACGACATCTTCTACTGCATACAACTACATAAGTCTGTGTAAATATATGTGCAAATGTGAAGTAGCAGCTGCTTGCGTCAAATTATTACGCAAAGTTTTTGGCAAATACAAATTAATCTTGATGTGACACTAGTTGCTTAGCGCTGCTACTGGAGCTTACTTTCTCGAATGGTTGATACATATCTTTTTATAGTATTTATGTAATTATGAATTTTAAAGATGGAGATTTTTGTTTGAAGGGTCAGTGATGATGATATTTAAGATATATGCAATGCTACTCAGGGTCTTATTCGTGCGCAACTGAGTTCCCTCTGTTTGTCAATAAATGGCTCAAGCAGTTAGTGGTGATCGATTTTGATAAAGAAA